CACGAATTTGATTTGAACTGACAAGGAGGAGCCGCATGGCCGTCTAAATAGGACTCGCGAATGAGAACGCTCTGCTTACTGGAAATAAGTGATCTTGCTATAAATTTCAGGAAGGGTAAATCTTCCCATCTCTTAACCCTAACAGTAATCTTAACATACAACTAAACGGTAACCTCTATCTTAACTTTCGCCCTACCCTTCATCTAAACCACGCAATTAACATGAACCCTTAACGTCACCCCGACCCTACGTCAGACTCCGACCTAAACCCCAACCCTAAACTTGTCCCTAACACTCACCTTAATCCTAAACCGAATTTCCCCTGAAGTTGGCGCAAAGCCGCATGTATTATGGGCGGCTCCTGTTCCCATGTTCCATCTAGGCGGCCAAACGAGTCTGTGGTTAGAAAGCTAACACACTATCGGAGTGAATCAATCGCTAACCCTAAGATAATGATAATGACCAAAATAGCAAAGCTGCTAAAAACAGAAGAACCCAAAAGTAAATGTATATAAGATATTAAGGAAAGTAGATACAACTTTAATGTTGGTATCCTCGGGAATAAAAATTTAGCGGTGTTGCCAGTGCATTTAAAGTCCAGGGACAATCAAGAAAAAATGGAGGCAAGAATGTAAAAGGTCAAAATAGTCGGGGACCACCACAAGTCCTCCTTACCCTTGAACTTGCTCCATAAACGTGGAGCTTGTACGAGGTTCATCTGCATGCACAAGACCAGATTGCGTAAGCCGATGGCAGCCTCTTCTGCGGTTGCTAGCAGAGGATGACAGCGGCTTAGGGCAGTTTGGTAGGACATTAGAGATCACCTGGAAGGCTTTGTTGAGGTGCACACGATGCCGGAAATAAACAGTATGTGCGAAGATGAAGCTGTTTAGGTTTGTAAGTTCGCCGTTTCTCAGTCATATCTGGATGTGTCCCCGTATTTTTTGCATAAGCGCTGACTCGTGCGACTAATATAACCTGCTCCACAGGTTCAGATGAAGGATTCAATGCACACGTGGGAAATTTGAGCAGGTAACCTAACAGTACTTTTCTCCATGGAACAGCTTGGTCAAGGCGCCTTTTTAGGAGTGCGCTAGCCACGTCCCCTCGAAAGGGTAGTTTGAGCTACAGAGTTTGCTTTGCTGTGGACTTTGCCAGTTTTTCGTTATTATCCCTTGTAATAAATCAGTCAGGATACCGGTTCTCGTAAAACGGGTCCTAGATCATTCTAAGCTCCTTGTGAAAGGTGTCTGCCAAACAACGTTTTTATAGATCTTTGCATCAAACAACCAAATAGATTGCATTTCTGTTTAAGAGACACGAAACAGTCAAGCTTTCTTCTGGTAGACATGTCTTTGAACGCTACCGCCAGGTCTTCTGCGTACAGAGCGAATAAAGTGAATATGACCTTCTAAATTTCCGCCTCTAGTCTGTCATGACGTCAAATAGTCACTGAAGTTTACTCGAATCTTCCTAAAAGCAAAGTAAGGATTGAGCAGAAAGCCGCTAGTATGAATTTATTAAAACTGATTTGCACGCTAAGGTTCAATTGTGTTTTTGTAACGTCAGACAAAAGGCCAAATGCTACAGTTATTAGTAGGTAGTTGGGAAGGGGAAACGTCAAATGAAAAAAAAATGAAACGAGAGACGTAGACAGATCATGCGTGGAGAGGCCACACAAGTCACCCTGTCTGAGTCGGTTGGAGCAGGCAGGAACATATGGGTGACAGGCACACTGGTGGACACCGCCACAACCGCGATGGGAGCGTCAAAGGCAAGCAAATTAAGTATACTTGCCAACCTTCAGTGTTAGTGTACACCGAGAGTAAACAACCTGGGAGGGAATTTTGTGTCTTCACATGTGGCAGTGGAGGACGAAGTGACAATGGTTGGTGTGGAAGGTGAGTTAATCGTTTCAACTTCAATGTTCGTGTAGGCCCAGATTACGCAAACCGGGAGGCAGTGCTAGGTCACCATGGGTGGTCGAGGTGGGGAGGGGGTGATGACTGGCGTGGGAGGTGATTTAATCGTCAGGTGTTCGTGTACAAACAGATAACAATATATAGGCGAGAATACTATGTGGCTGTTATGGTGATGGTGCTACCACAGTAGGTTAAATTAATAGGATTTTCAGGTCCGGTTCCGCGTGGTAAGAGAAGACGTGAGACGCCAGATAGAAGGAATGGTTTATTGCCTACACTGCGAGTGGAGAATGGTTTAGAGGAAGTTGAGAGTTGGACGAAGATGCGTCCGGCCGGCCGCGAGGGCCGGCATCCAATGTGTGTCAGCGCGACAGTCGTCACAGTGAGGTCATTAGTGAAGCAGCCTTGGAGATGATTGGCCAGACCGGGATAGGCAGAAATTAGTGCATGCACACTTGCTCGCAGCCGTGAGTGCGCATGCATCCGAAGTTGCGACACTGCAGTGCCAGTGTCAGAGTTGACCGAGATGACTGCTGGTTGGGGCCAATTTAGTGCCCTCAACTTTGCTGTGATAGCTACCCTCTTGCATGCGCATATGACCGGAGGGATATATGCATTGTGCGAACGTCCTGGGGAAATGCGAGCAGGTAGGGTGTTTGGTTAGGATGTATTTTGGTGTTTCAAATTGTGATTCGCCGGATGCAAGTACGCAATCAGCGCCATTATTGATTCGAAGATGCGATTGCAATCATCGGCACAGATTAGATTCAAATCCACATTTCTCAAGAAAGGGGCGCTGATTAATAGGATGACAAGAACTTCCTCACTGGAAAGTGATGCTTTGTGAGATGAGAGTCGGGTTAGTAATATTGGTATTGGCTAAGTATCATGATTTCCAGAAAAAACCAGTGGACAACGTTGATAAGATGCTAATTCTGTGTGGTTAGAATATTATTCTGCAACACTTGAGAATTGTGAGGCTCTGGTTGGTCTGGCAACAACAACTGTTCCCCATGCTAAATCAGGCCGCGCAGTAGATGCGTTGGTTCACCATGGAATACGCACCCATAACAAATGACGCACAAGGGGTTGTCATGGCACGCATAAAGGCGAAGCTTACTCCACGCCAGCCACCAATACTAGGCTCAACCTGTGGTCTTATGAACGAGGTTTAGACACTGTAGAGAAATCTAAGCCCAAGGGCGCTAAGTTTTGGCGAGGTCTTCCGTACGTAAAGAATGTCTCGGAAGCCCTCAGCCGCGTTCTCACTCCCCTTCGATTTTGAATTGCGCACAGGCCGGAAGCAACTATTAGGCTTCGAGTCATGACGCCAAAAGACCAACTGCCATTGGATGAAACGGCTGGAGTGATTCACCAGATCTGATGCAGTTGTGCGCAAAGCAAGTACGTCGGATAATCTCGGATATTCTTCAGGATGCGAATGGATGAACCGACATCAGCGGTGAGAAGGATAGACGCTAATTCTTAGATTGCAGTTCACTTGGTGGAGCCCGACCACATTTTCAAGGTTAACGAGCCCGAAATCCTCGCAAGAGTTGACAACCGCGTGAACCACGAGCAGTTAAAGTCACGGTTCTCAGGCCCGCAGTCCGTCGACAATCACAATGCCTTGGTGTTTTCATGGTCTATACTACGACTTCGTCTGAGCAGGGGAATCAGTCCCATGGGAAGGGCGCGAGCCATCCGCGATTTTTATGACCGTGAGACTAATTGTCACGTAGGTATCATGCCAAAATCCAGCGCGCATGATGAGCTTGCGGCAATTCGGACTTCGGACGCAGTCTGCCAAGCCATCATCTCACCAACCATGACCGTCGGCGATGACCATGAGAGCTGCCAGTTTCAGTACGCATGTGGTTGTGTGGCCACTACGGACTATAAATACTGTGCACCTTGTGCCTCCGTCACCTTTCTGCGGCTGTGTCTGATGATGGCTTCAAGCGAGAATCCGAAACGTCAGGCCAATAAACTTCTCGCTCCAAAGATCGGATCTGCGCCTTCTGGATACCAATGAAGTTTGTAAGACCGCGACTCGGTGATCAAGCGGCGCATTCAACGTTCAATGAGAATCTTCTAGATTTCAAGTTATTGGTGCAAGGATTCGCTTGTAGTGGACTTTCATAAACGAGCAAAATCTGCAAGGAAGCAGACCCTTTTCCTAGTAGCCATTTCGGATCGCCTCTGAATTTTTAGTAAAATACTTTCAGCTAGATTATTCAGTTAATCCATTATCACAAACTGTCTAACATAGTCGAATGAAAGGGGTTGAACCATCCCTGATTTCGACCTATGCCCCACATCGCTTGACGCCTCCATACTCAGAGAATGAGAGTTGACCGCGCGTGCATGCTATGAGACGGGCACCCTTAATATGTAAAACTGCTTATTATAATGCCCCACATAGTAAAGATATGATAACCAAAAACGGATAGGTAACTGGTGCATCACTAAGAGACCCGCCCATCCTTATATGTCGGTTGTTAGGGAGCCATACATTGAGGAATAAAGAATTGATCTGACTCTCAATACCAGCCGCCTCTCAGAAAGCGTAGTCATATGGAAGTCCGTTAAGGTTTTCCTAATAAGACCAGCATACCGAACTTGTTAACAATTAGCCACTGTCTTCTGCCTTCTTTGCAACGGCTGTTTAATTTATGATATGCGCTTTTGGACCCTAGTTCAACCAGCTCGCTGAACCAGTCGAAGCAAGACATGTAGGAGTCGGTATTAGACTTTAATACAACCAACCTTTAAGCCATCTGCGCTATAAACTCTACACACATCCCAAATGTGAGAAAATCAATGCCTTATGTCGGGATCTCATAGTTCAGTTGCTTGTAATACTGATTTGCTAAAACCCGTGCCTCTTTTGTAGTCCGCTCGTATCCCCTCACGGCATGCAAGTTCGTGAAAAATGATACGGTCAAAGAAATCTCTACTCAAATTAAAAAAATGAAGCGCAGAACGGAGGGCTTTATCAAGCTTCAGCCATAAGTTACCGTCGGCGGGTATAAAATCGAGTTGCCTTCATTTTATAAAATTCAAAATATATACAGTTTACTCAATAAGTATTTCAAAAGAGACGCTGCCTTCACCACGTTCGAAATCCACGTGAATATTCTTTGCCACCAGATAACATCTCACTCGAATGAGCGTAGTTTTCTTGACGCCATCAAATTGCACAAACACCAGTGGCTGTTGATAACAAGCTTGGTTTTGGTAGGGAAAGTACATGGACCGAAATGTGCCATTTTCCAACTTGCCGGGATTTATGGCCGATGGGACCGCCGAGAACTTGTACTCCATGTCGTAATAACGAATGGTTCCGAGGTTATTGGTGTCATTCTCATCAACACCCTCACACCGTACCAGCACACCTTCCGCCCCATCCACAGGGTCCGGCAACCAGCCATAGAGGTTGTTTATCTTCAGAGCAAAACAC